GGAAGGGGGCCGGGAGGAAGGCGTGGGGGGACAACCTCGGGGGGCTGGGGTGGGCCTCGTGGGGGGGGTGGGGGGGTCTCTGGGGGGGTCTGGGGAGGGGGGAGGGCAGGGCAGGACAGGACGGTTGTTCCCGGCGAGGACCCGGCAGCTCCTGGTTTTTAATTGGATCGATGTGGGTTTATGTGGGAGGGGGCCGTGCCCCCCCCCGCGCCCCCCCCGCTCTTCCCACCCCCCCATTCTGTGTCACAGCCCCTCCCCCCCCATTTATTTCTCTTTTTCTCTCTTTTTTTCCTTTATTTTTAAAAATTGTGGAAGAATAAAAACTGCAGCACTGACCCGGCTTGGGGGGGTCGGGCCTGTCCAGGGGCATGAGACCCGGCCCTGGGCTCCCCGGGAGGGGATGGGGGGGCTCAGGGTGCAGCTGGACCCTCCCCAGGGTGGGGGCTGTGTGGTCCTTTGGGGGTCAGGCAGGGCTGGAGGGTCTGGGGGGCCCCAGGGCTAGGGGAGGCCCCCACCCAAGGTGGAGGTTAAGGCTTTTAGGACCCCTTCTCCCCTCCAACGGAAGGAGAGGGGGCTGAGACCACGGTGGGTTCACAGTATTTGGGTAGGTCCTACAAAAATAAATGTGGGGCTCTGTTTTCAAGGGGGTCCCCGGGGGCTGGAGGGGCGGGGTGGGTGCACAGGGCTCTCCCCCCCCAACCAGGGACATCCCCCCCTCAGCCCTCGGGGGTCCCACCCACCCCTGTGCCCTGAAGCCCCGTCCCCGCAGGCCACGCCCCCCGGTGGGCGAGGCACGAGGAACCTCATTTGCTTATTTAAAGGCGCAGGCACCGCTGCTGGGGGGGTCCCCAAGGCACGTCGGAGGGGCTCAGAGGCGGTGTCGGGGCGGGGTGGCGATGTCGGGGGGTCCCGGCGGGGTCCCGCTGTCCGGCTGCCGGTCCCGCAGGCTCCAGGTGGTGCTCGGGGAGGCTCGGGGGTCCCTGGGGCTCGGGGTGTCCGTGCAGCGCTGGGCTGGGGGGGGCTGGCGGCGAGGGGGACCCCCGGGGGGGGCTTTGGGCTCCTTGTGCCGGAGGCGCTTCTGCCGCCGGCTGAGGACTGTGGGGAGGGGGCGAGTCCTGAGCCCTGTGCCCCCGCCCCCGGGACACCCCCTGACCCTGACCCGGGGACACCCCCGACCCGGGGACACCCCCCATTTACCACCCCCTCCCCACCCTCCTCACCCTCACCTTCATCCTTCCCACCACCACCAGCATCCAGAGCCTCATCCCAATCCTTTCCCAGTCCCACCCTTTCCCTCCTCCCTGTCCCCATCGCCACCCCGCCCTTATCCTCACCTTCATCCCCACCAGCATCCACAGCCCCGTCCCTTCCCCATCCCGCCCTTCCCCCGTCCCCTCCCTCGCCCCGGGGGTCCCTCACCGTGTCCCCTCGGTGCCCCTCGGGCCGTCACCTTCCACTGCAGCAGCACGGCGGTGACACTGAGCGCGGGCCACGCTCCGAGCAGCGCCCACCCGGGCCAGCAGAGCGGCCCCCCCGGCGCCCCCCGCAGCCGGGCCAGCGCGAACCCCACCAGCGCCGCCCCCTCGGCGAAATAATCCGCGCAGACCACCAGGGCGGCCGCGCCCCCCACGCCCGTGCCCAGCACGGTGAGGGCGCGGGGCCAGCGCAGCGCGGAGAGAGCCCCGAGCAGCGCCAGCCCCAGCGCCACCCCCGCGCCCACCCAGGGGCTGCCCGGGGGCTCCGCCGGGGCCAGCGCGGCCAGCGCGGCCGCGGCCACCAGCAGCCCCAGCAGCAGCCCCGTGGTGAAGAGCCCCACGCTGCGCAGCAGCGCCGTGAGGAGCCCGCAGAGCAGCCCGATGCCCAGCGCGATGCCCGCGCTCGCCTCCAGGCTCAGGGGGGACCCCAGGACGCGCTCCCGGTGGCACAGGAGGAAGATGACGGCGGAGCCGAAGAACAGCCCCGAGAGGAACATGACGGCCCTGAAGCAGCGGTAGCCTTGGGGGGCGCGGGGGGGGTCAGTGGGGGCGGTGCTGGTGGGCACTGGGCAGTCCCCGGGGGTCCCCGGTGCCCCACAGAAACCTTGTGCCCCCCGGTGTCCCCTGTGCCACCCCCTCTGCCCAGGATCGCCAGTTGTCCCCCAGTGGTCCCTGTGCCATCTCTTCTGCCCCCCAGATATGCCCCCTGCCTCCTCAGGGCCCCCCCAGCCCCCCCAGCCATGCCCTCAGGGTCCCTGGGGCTCCTCTCGGGGGTCCCCCCGTGCTCCCCAGCCCCCCCACCATGCCCCCAGCCCTGCCCCCCTCGGGGTCCCCCCCGATGTGCCCTCAGGACCCCCCCAGCCCCCTGACAGTGTTCCGGGGTCCCCCCGAGGCCCCCAGCCGTGCCCCCCTCGGGGTTCCCTCAGTCCCCGCCCCAGGAGCCCCTCAACCCCCCGGCCGTGCCCCCGGGGGTCCCCCCGTGCCCCCCTCACCGAAGCAGCCGCAGCCGAGGCCCAGGAGCGCCCCGAGGGCGCAGAGCGCGGCCGGGACGGGCTCGAGGGGTCCCCGGGGCCCGAGGGCACAGCGGGGCTCCGCGGGGGGGGCGCCGGGATCCATCGCCCCCCGGGCTCTGCGGGGGCGGGGGGTGAGCGACCCCTCCCCGCGACCCCCTCCTCCCCCCCGCCTCGTGTCCCCCTCCCCGCACCCACATCTGGCGGCGGCGCCGCGGGGGGGGGCGGCACATCTGGAAGGGACTGGGCTGGGGGCGCTGGGAGGGGGAACTGGGGGCGATGGGTGCACTGGGAGTGGGTGTTGGAGAATGGCAAACTGGGGGAACTGGGAGCGACGGGAGGGGTCCGTGGGAGTACCGGGAGTGCTGGGAGGGGGCACTGGGAGCGGTGGGAGCGCTGGGAGGGGGCACTGGGAGCGGTGGGAGCGCTGGGAGAGCTCTCGGATGGGGCTGGAGGGGCGGGGGGTGCCCAGGGAAGTCCCCGGCCGGGTTCCCATCCCCACTCGCTCCCCCCGCCCCTCCAGCCCCATCCGAGAGCTCTCCCAGCGCTCCCAGTGGTTCCACCGACTCCCGGGAGGGGGGCCCCACTCGGGGGTCCCATCTCCGCTCGGTCCCCCCGCCCGGGACTCACCGTCGCTGCCGTCGCGGGGGTCGCGGCGGGGCCGAGATGCGGCAGGGGCGGGACCGGGGGCGGTGAGGGACCGTCGCGGGGTCCCGCGCGGGGTCTGGCGGGGGCGGGGGCGGCAGTCGGGGGGGTGAGCGTAGGGAAAGGACCCGATCCCGCGTGGGGTCAATCCCGGGGAAGACAAAGGGAGGGGGTCGCACGGGGGGGCCCCGGCGGGGGCGGCGGTGCGGGAGGCGCGGAGCCCCCCGCGGATACCGTGCGGCATTGCCCTTTTAAGATCGAAGATGCCCCTTTAAGGGGCGGGGCCATAGGTACGGGGCGTGGAGATGCCCGTTTAAGGGAGTGCGACCACACCCAACGAAGGGGCGTGTCTATACCCGCCGAAGGGGCGTGGTCACCCGGTTAATGATTGGCCGCACCTCTGGGGGGCGTGGCCATCTCCATTTGAGGGGTAGGCGGGACGAAGCTCTCACGTGAGGCCCCTCCCCCGGAAGTGGGCGTGGCCGGCGCGGCGGCGGGCGGAAAGCGGAAGTGCGGCCGTGAGGGGACCCGGGGGGGGGCGGCGGCGGCGACCCCCCCCCACCGCCGGTACCGGCGCGGTGAGTCCAAAATCCCCCAAATCCAGCCCTAAACTCTCCCCCCACCGCCGGTACCGGCGCGGTGAGTCCGGGACCCCCCAAACTCCCCCCCGGTCCGTTTGCGGGTTCCTTACAGGCCCGACTGGGAGTCCCAGGGCCGTTCGGGGGGTTCCCCGGAGCCCTTTCCGGAGGTTCTCGGGGCCCATCCGAGGGATCCTGGGATGGGTCGGGGTCTCTGGGGTCCTACGGGGGGTCCCCGGGGGCCATTCGGGGGGTCCCGGGCCCATTTCGGGGGTCTCTGCCCCTCGCTGACCCCTCTCTCTCCCCCCAGCCCCGGCAGGACCGGGATGGCCGTGACTTAACCCCGGGATGGAGCAGCCCCGGCCCCGGGACGCGGCCGAAGGAGGCTCCGGCCCCCCCAGCGCCGCCTGGAACGGGACCTGCGGCCGCGCCGGGACCGCCCCCGGCCCGGGGGACGACGAGGAGGACGGAGGGGGCGGCGGCGACCCCGGGACCCGCTGCGGCTGCCGAGGACCCCCGGCCCCCGCCGAGACCCCCGCGGGGGAGCCCCGGACCGGGACCTGCGGGCTCGGCTGCCGCCACCGGGGACCCCCCGACGGCGACGGGAGGGCGCGGAGGGCCCGGAGGCGGCCGAGGCACCGCGGGGCCCTCCGGGAGAACGAGGAGGATGAAGAGGAGGAGGAGGGCGGGGGGCTGCGGGGCTGGGGCCGGGGGTCGCTGCGGGCGGCCCGGGCGGGGGCCGGGCTGTGCCTGAGGCTGCTCGGGGCGCTCCTGGCGCTGCTGCTCCTCCTCTTCCTCCTCCTCCTCGGGGGGCTCCGGCTCTGCTGGCGCGGCCTCGCCGCCGGAGCCCACCGGGCCCGGGAGCTCCTGGGGGACCCCCGGCAGTGGCTGCGGGGCGGGAGGAGCCCCCCGGGGGTCCCCGCGGCGGGGGAGGAGGAGCTGGGGCGGCTGCTGGCCCTGGCCGAGGTGCCCGAGGAGGAGCTGAACCCCTTCCAGGTGCTGGGGGTGGAGCCCTCGGCGGCCGACGCCGAGCTCAGAAAGGCCTATCGGCGCCTGGCCGTGCTGGTGGGTGTGAGCTGGGGGGGCCCGGGGACCCCCACCCCGGCAGGCCCCTGAGGGTCGTTATCTGCCCAGGTGCACCCCGACAAGAGCCCCCACCCGCGGGCAGAGGAGGCCTTCAAGGTGCTGCGGGCGGGCTGGGACCGGGTGAGCAGCCCTGAGCGGCGCCGGGACTACGAGACGTGAGTCGGGGGGCCCTGGGGGGGCTCTGGGACCCCCGCCGAGGGCTCTGACCCCCCGTGTTCCCCGCAGAAAGAGGCTGGCCCAGAGCGAGCTGGCACGGTCGGTGGGAGCCTTCCTGAGCCGGCTGCAGGAGGACCTGAGGGAGGCCATGAACGCCATGGCCTGCAGCCGCTGCGGGGGCCGCCACAGGTGGGGCTTCAGGGGCCAGGGGGTGCTCGGGTCAGCACTGGGGGATGTTGTGTCCTGGGGGGCTCAGGGGGGTGGGGGGAGCAGGGCCAGCACCGGGGGGATGTCGTGTTTCGGGGGTCTCAGGGTGCCGCGGTGCCCTGGGGGGCTCACGGCGCCATCACCCCCCGCAGGCGGTTCGAGCTGGACAGGGACCCCCAGCGTGCCCGGTACTGCGCTGAGTGCGGGGGGCTGCACCCGGCCGAGGAGGGGGACCTGTGGGCAGAGTCCCACCTGCTGGGGCTCAGGATCACCTACATGGCCCGCATGGACGGCCGGGTCTACGACATCACCGGTGGGGACGGGCACCCCTGGGGGGACGGGGACCCCACACCCACGGGGGGACCCCACACCCACGGGGGGACCCCACACCCACGGGGGGACCCCACACCCACGGGGGGCTGCCCCTGGCCCCAGACTGGGGGGTGACAGAGCCCCCAGACTTGGAGGGTTCTGCAGCCCCCAGACCCAGCGGGTTTCCCAGCCCCAGGGGTCCCACCCTCCGTGGCCCCCCCGGGGTGCCCCCTGACGGGTGGTCTCTGTCTCTGTCCCCCCAGAGTGGGCTGGGTGCCAGCGTGTGGGCATCTCCCCGGACACCCACCGTGTCCCCTACCACCTGTCCTTCGGCGCCAGGGCGGCCCCCCCACCCGGGAGGCAGCGGTCAGTGCTGGGGGGGCACCTGGGGGGTGGCACCGTGTCCCTGGGGGGCTTGGGGGGTGACACAATGCCCCGGGGGTCTGGTGGTGCCGTCACACCCTCTCTCTCAGGTGGTTTGACGTGCACAGGGATCCCCAGGCCCCCCCAACCTCCTCTGTTCCCCCTCCAGGACCACCCCCAAGGGCAGCCCCCCCACCCCCTCGGAGCTTCAGGATTTCCTCACCCGCATCTTTCAGGCCCCGGCGTCCCCTGGGGGGCCCTTCCCGCCGCCCCCCACCCCCCCAGGGGCCGCGGCCCCGCCCGGGGGTCCCCCCAGGCCAGAGGGGGTTGCCCCCAGGGGGGACACGAAGCACAAGAGGAGGAAGAAGGTGCGGCGGCCGCTCCCACGCTGAGGGGCCCCAGGCCCCCCCAAAGGGCTTCTTTGAATAAAAAATCTATTTTTCTTTTTTTTTTTTTTTTTAGAAAAGAAAGTGAGTGTTTTTTAACATGGGCGAGTTGTTTTAAAAAGGGGATGGAGCGGGGATGTGGCCAAAGGAGCTGCAGGTTGGGGGGGAAGCAAAGCAGAGTTTGGGGCTGTTTTGGGGGCTCACACGACCCCGAATAACCCGGGGGCCAATTTAAGTGTCATTTTAGGTGCTGGGCTGGCAGATATGGCACCTGGGGGAAGGGAGGGAGTGTGAGGGCCTGGGATGTTGATGGCCAATGGCCTCGCGGCCGGGGGGTTTAGTTAATAAATAAACTCAGAATTAGCAAATAAATTAATAACGAATAATTAATAATACCCAGCTCCTCGCACTGCCGCGCTCCCATTGGTCCGTCTCCACGTCACTCAACTCCGCCGACCAATACCACGAGGGCGGTGCCGGGCAGAACTGGCCAATGGCGGGCTGCGCTTTTGCCTAGTCCATCGGGCGCGCTCGGCGCTGATTGGCCGGCCGGCGGCGGGGGCGGGGCCGGCGCGGCTGTGACAAGATGGCGGCGGAGCCGGTGGAGCTGCACAAACTGAAGGTGCCGCGGGGACCCGCGAGCGGGGCGGTTGGAGGGAGGGGAGCGGTTTGAGCGCCCGCCGCCATGGAGGGCGGCCAGACCCGCTCCCTCGGGGATTGGACCCCACCGCAGGCCGGAACCCCTGAGGTCGGGGCTCCCCGAGGCCCCGCGTGGGAGTGCAGCCGCATGGAAGAGACCCCAGGGGGGAGTACCAGGGATGGGGGTACCGGGGACGGTCCCTGGGGAGGGTTCCCCAGCTGGTTCCCCAAGGGGGTCCTGGGGAGGTTCCCCCAGTGGGTTCCTCAGGAGGGTCCCCAAGAGGTTCCCCCAGTTGATTCTCCTGGGAGGTCCCTCCAGGAGGGGCCCAGGATGGTTCCCCGGTGGTTTTCCCCGGGAGGGTCCCCCAGGAGGGTCCCAGGAAGGTTCCCTTGGTTGGTTCCCCCAGGACGATCCCAAAGAGATTCCCTGGGAGGGTTCCCCTGGAACGTTCCTTTCCATCCCTCAACCCCGCTTTGATCCCTGTATTTAATCCCTGTATTTCCCGACTCACGGAAGCTTTTCCCACTGCAGCTGGCAGAGCTGAAGCAGGAATGCCTGGCCAGGGGGCTGGAGGCCAAAGGCAACAAGCAGGACCTCATCAACCGGCTCCAGGCCTACCTGGAGGAGCACGGTGGGTGCTGGGGGCCCTTCCCGAATCCCTCGGAATTCCCGCCTGGATTCCTGTGTTCTCTGGGAATCCAGAGGTTCCCTGGGGTGTTTTGCTGCTCCAATGGCTGCGTTGTTTTGTCCTCCAGCTGAAGAAGAAGCCAATGAGGAGGATGTGCTGGCAGAGGAGATAGAGGTGGGTTGTTTTTTGGGATGATCCTGGGGGGATCCTGGTTTGCTGACCGGGAACGGGGCAACACCCGGGGCTGTGTGGAGTTTAAACCACTTTTGTTGTCCATTTTGGTCCTAAAGCAGCCGGTTTTGGTGCCGAGAGACAACTGGGATTGTCCAGAGGGTGGGATGGGGGATCCTGTCACTGGTGTGATCCCAGATTTTGGGATCCCTCGGGGTGGGGTCACTCCCTCCATGTCCAGCAGGATTCACACCTGGGGGGTTTAAGGATATTTAAGGAAAAGTCTCCCAGTTGGTGCCCGTGGATCCCGTGGGATTGAGCCCTGTTCCTGCCAGGGCCAGGAAATCCATCCTGGAAAAGCACTTTGTGCTAAAACACCCTCAGGAAGTGACTCTTCCCACTGTCAGGCTCCTGACAGGAGCATTTTTCCCTCTTTTCCCATGAAATATTTGGTGAGAAGGAGAAGGGGTGCTGCTGGAGCCCCTCCTGGCCATTCCCACTCCATTCTGGGCTGGGAATGTCGCCCTCAGGTCATTCCCAACCCCTCTTGTAGCCCAGACCTTCTGGGAAGGGATTATGGGGCTTTGGAAAAGCACAGGGAGAGTTTCCAACCCCTCCTGGGACATAGAACACGGGAATTCCTGGGAATGTTTGGGCTGAATCGGGGGGTTGTGCCTTGGGAATCACCCAGGAAAGGTGGCTGGGAGGTTTTTTACGGATTCTCCACGTTGGTTCCCAGGAGGAAGAGCCGAAGCCGGCGGAGCCGCCCGTGAAGGTGGAAGAGGCTCCGGTGAAATCCCCCGATGTGTAAATATCGGGATTGGGGTCCGCCTGGGAAATCTGGGAGCACGAGGGACCACGGGATTCACCCGACCCCGGGGGGTGCAGGATGGAAGGGGGGAGCAGATCCCACGTGTTGGAGCAGGACTGGGGATCCCCGTGGGGTCACCTGGGGGTGGGAAACGGGGGGGTTTGGGTTGGAGATTCCTGGGGGTGGGAGATTCCTTCGGTTGACATTCCGTGGGTTTTGATCCTTTGGGTGTAGATTCCTTAGGGTTGAGAGATTCCTCAAGTCTTGATCCTTGGGTTTGAGATCCCTCACGTTTCAACGGAGAGCCAGGAGAAGGGGGAATGGCTTCCCACTGGGGAAGGGGAGAATTGAGTGGGATATTGGGACGAAATTCTTCCCTGTGAGGGTGAGGAGGCCCTGGAACGGATTTCCCAGAGAAGCTGTGGCTGCCCCATCCCTGGAATTGTCCCTGGCCGGGTTGGTCAGGACTTGGAGCCGCCAGGGCAGGTGGGAAGTGTCGCTGCCCATGGAATGAGAGGAGCTTTCGGCTCTTTCCCAGCCCGGAATCCCTGGGAGGCTCCTCGGGATCTCCTGGGCAGGAGGGGGCGTCCTGGGGCCGTTCCAGCTCCATCCCAGCCCTGCTCCCATCCCGTCCCAGGCTTTCCCAGCCCGGCTCCGGGGCAGAATTGCTTCCTGGGGAAGTGCCATTAAGCCATTAGGACCTTTCAGGGCATAAAATGGGGAACCTGTGCCGGGATTGGGAACAAAGGCCGCTCATTTTCCTTAACGAGCCTGGCGTTCCCACTGTTTTATGGGAGCTGTTTGGGGGAGGAGGAGCTGCTCCTTCCCTCCTGGGACCTTCCCAACTTTGGCTCTTCCTCCTTTGTTTCCCCCCTCAAGGCCCAGCTGTGTTTTGGGAGCGCAAGCCCCGGAATCCTCCCCTTCCAATCCACCCCTTCCACCCCTTCTGTTATATTTGAAAGGGGGGGGATGGTTGGGAATGACCCAGGGAGCAGGGAATGTGCCCAGGGAGCGGGGAATGTGCCTGGGGCTGCCCCATGAACTAGAACACAACAACCCTTTGTGTTCCAGGGCCATAAAGGAATAAAACTCCCCAGGGATTCGAGGCTTTGGGCTTCCCACAGGACCTGGAGGAGCCTTGAGCTGGGCCAGGGGTTATTCCCGGAGTTCCAGTGCCCAGTCCATCCTTTCTTCAGTTCCAGTGCCAATCCCTCTGGTTTTGGGGTCCCCACGGAGTGGTTTGTCCTGCCTTCAGCAGTTCATGATCCCCCCAGTCCTGCAGGGAATGAGAGTGTGGCTGCTCCTGCTGTGATCCCACCTCATTCCCAAGGGAATTCAGGGATGCTGCAGCTCCTTTGCTGGGTGATGTTTCGTGCCCCAGATGCTCCCAAAATTTTGGTTAGAAGTTTCCCGGGCCTCATCCTTCCCTTTGGCATCAATGTTGGGCTCCAAATTTGAGGAAGATCCACAAACCTGGCTTGTGGTTCCCATTTCCACACAGAGCCTTGGTTGTGTTGGGAATGTGTGGCCAGGAGGAGATTCCTGGCCCCTTTCCCACCAGGACATGTCTCTGGAATCCACAGGAGCTGCTCTCACTGGTTTCTCTCTTTCCCAACACCCCCAGGATCACGGAGAAGAAGGTGGTGAAAATCACATCTGAGATATCCCAGATGGAGGTGAGATCCCTGCTGCTGCATCCTCCCGGGAGGGGATTCCCCTTCCCCCTTCCTTCTGGGGGTTGCTGAGGCAGGATCAGCGTTTCCATGGGAAAGCTGCTTTATTTTTGTGGGTTGGTTTTGCATTTCCCGTTCCTGGGAGAGTCCCAGGCCGGGTTGGAGCCCCCTGGGATAGTGGGAGGTGTCCCTGCCCATGGCAGGGGGTGGATGGGATGAGCTTTCATGTCCCTCTTGAGCCATTCTGTGATTCCCTGCTGTCCTTTGCCCCCCTCTCCCTGTGTTTGTGCTCCCTGAAAACCCTCGGGTGCCGCCGATTCCTCTGGGAAAGCTCCGAGTTTCAGGAATCTGCCTGTGCTTCTCTAATCCCCCCTTAATTTTGTTGGCTCCTGAGGCAGAAATCCCTATGAAAACACGATTCCTGCTGTTTGCAGCGACTCCAGGGTTTAATCTGCTGTTTGGGACACGCTGATTTCCACAGCAACGGGAGCGATGGCGCAGGAGGGGGATTTGTGACCTTGGAGAGGCAGGAACAGGGTCCGGGGGGGCTGGGGCAGATCCTGGAGGGAACTGCTGCAACTCGTCCTCCTGCTCTTTGTTTTTCCCCAAATTCTGCAAGATTTTCCCCAGAAAATCCCCTCTTTCTTTGGTGGTTATTTAGCGTGAGGTTGGCGGGTCTCGGCAAAGTGCTGTTGGGGTGGGTTTTGAGGGAAAAGGGAGTTATTTAGAGGTGTAAATATATATATTTCCAGAAATACAGGTGAGCAAGGGAGACAAATCCCTGGGGTAAATAATTGGAAGTGGGAGCACAGCCTGGAATTCTGTCATTTGCTGTGGATCTGGGAGGGCGTGAGGGGCTTCCCACTGCCAGAGGGGAAGGTTGGGTGGAATATCAGGAAAGAATTCCTCAGGTATCCTTCAGGATGTATAAAGGGATAAGGAAACAAGGTTTGACCTGAGTGGTGCCTTTTTCCACCTCTGTTTTCCCTCCTCTGCTGAGTTCCAGCTCCTCAGTCCCGGGAGGGGCCCAAGTGCTGCTCCCAGTCCAGCTTTTCCAAACATTTATGTTTTGGAGCAGATGTTTATGATGCTCCTCGCTGTGCCCTTGGCTCCGCTCAGTGTTTCCATTAAATATTCCCTG